GAATCAATATTTGTTGCGTGTCGAAGACTCGGATCCAGGATTCTACTACTCTAAGCCACTTGAGTGCGCTAGATTTATCGACGAGATACGTTCTTCGCACATCAGGCGACGATGAAGCTCGTTCAGTAGGTCAACGCGGGGTAGGTATTGTACTTAGTAATAGGGCGGAGTTTTCTCTAATCGATAGGATCCCCGTCAACAGTCGTTTATGTGCAGTGCGTCTCCAGGGTTCAATCGGCGTTCGGGAGGGAAGCAACACTAAAAGGTGTTTGTTTATGTGAACTCACCGATCTCATTCGGATGAGTCGAAGCTCCGACATAGTTGTACTTGCAGGTGACTTTAACGCACAGGTTGGAAAAACAGTGCATTGGAAGCTTGCCTAGGTGGTCATTGGGCTAGGCCCTGCCAATGAACACCTAACGGTGATCGGCTTCTTCAGTTCTGCGCAGACCATCTAGTACCCATTTCTGACTGCCCTCAACGGACGGCAACGTGGCGCTCCAGTTCAAATGGTACGCTAACTGAAATTGACCACATAACAGTAAGTTTCCCTATTAGTTTTGATGGAATTCACTCTCCGACTAACTTGTCCAAGATACAACCAACAAACTCGGATAGCTCATCATCGACCATCTGTTCCTACAGTCTGTACGCTGAGTCGGAAATATTGCGTGGGCTAAGCGCGCTTCAAATTGATGATGTAGATGAGCAGTGGGGTCAGGTTAGACGATCAATGCATTCCGCAGCGAATGTTGCTTGTGGGTCTGAGCCTCAAGCTCGACGGAGGCATTAAATATCTGACGAGTCTGTAGCACTGATGGATCAAAAACGGTAAATCCCGACCTGCCAGGATCAAAATAATGTTAAGTGGCATCTACAACGTCAGCTCACGAAGAGCCTCAAGAAGGACCGCGAGAACTGGTGAGCAACAATAGATAGTGAAATGGAAATAGCAGCTGCAGCAGGGTATAGTCAAAGATTGTTTCGACTGATACGCCAAACGGGAGGTCGGCGAACTCTAGCTAGTGAAACAGTCTGCAATAAGGTTGGACAAGCTAATTACGATAGGGATCAACGACTCGATCGCTGGGCGGAATGCTTAAGCAGACAGTTCGGCTGGCCTGCAGCTAGCCGGATTACTTCATCTTTAGCTGAAGCTCCGTGGGCAGTGTCGTGCTATTCTCCAGCAGTAGCAGAATTTTGGGCTTGCATTCAATCTCTGAAGCGAGGAGGGCAGCAGGACTAGGTGAGCTCTCTCCCACTCCCTTCAAGATGGGATGCGGGGTCGGTAATCTCGTAAACTCCATTACAACCGTACTACGTAATATTTAATCACAAGAGCGCATTCCTTCTTCTTGGGGTGAGTCCCTGATCGTCTCCATTCGCAACGATTGCGAAAACCACCGCGGAATAAGTCTGATCCCGATCGTCACTAAAGTGCTCATAGATCGACGTTTAACTACTTTAAAAGAGATCAACATCCATAAACAGCAAGCCGGATTCCGGCCTGACCGTGAATTTATTGGTCAATTTTTTACGTTGCGTCCGGTCCTTGAGCTGCATCATACCACCGTCGGCCAGCGATCACAGTGTTCCTTGACCTGAAAGGAGCCTTCGACTCAGTTGACCGCGAAGCTCTGATGGGCTCCCTTCTTCGAAGAGGAATGCCCCAGAAGTAAGTTGACCTACTGAGATCACTGTACTCACAGACTTCCTGTCGTGTAAGGGTTTACAACAATCTAAGTAGGCCGTTCGTCACCAGCAGCGGCGTCCGCCAAGGATGCCCTCTTTCGCCGTTCCTGTTCAATTTCGTCTACGAAGAAATACTGAAGAGCGCACTCAGTGGACTCCAAAGCGTAGGTATTGAATGGGCAACCGGATAAAAGCTGTGCGATGATTTCGTCTGTCTGTTCGTATGTATGGAGGACGCGCAAAGCGCACTTGATAGACTAATAAGCACGGTTGCCACATGCGGTATGTGCTTTTTTATCACATACCTAAGTGTGATGAACAGCAGACGGAGCGAACCCCATAGTTACGAGGACCTGCTGTTGTGCGATGGAAAGTGGCAATCTAAGCCCCGAGACTTGGAGTTGTGAACCACATAAGGCCTCGATAGTTGAGACGTGGTATTGAACCGGACGATAGCAGAGCTGCCTACCACTAAAGTCGGGTGGCGGTGGCGGGGCTCGAACCTCGGACCATAGGGTCCAAAGCACCCGTGACAGCGACTAAACCACTGCGCTACCACCACCTTCAAAGTGCAAAATGATGTTGCTGCAGGATTGCGTTTTACCTACTCCCGTTCTGAGGCTAAGTGGCCAGGAATTAGTTATGGTGGATTACTTATCCTACTTAGGTAGTTGGGTGACCAATGACAGTAGGGTAGCAAAGGAGATAGCCGCTCGCCTTTCTAAGGCTCGAACAGCATACGCAGGACTGCACCACCTTTGGCGTTACCGCGACGTTTCACTGATGTTGAAAGGCCATGTATATTGTGCTAGCGTTCGTTCAGTTCTGCTTTGTGATTGAGACTTTGAATTTGCGAGTGGAAGATATCCGTCGACTGGAAGTTTTCGACTGTCGGTGTTTACGTAGTTCATCCCACGTTGAATGAAGCGAACGGGTTAGTAACATGGAGGTAAGCCCGTCATGTGTTTGGAGGTGTATCAGGTATAAACCTGCTAGCACATCGAGTTCAGATTAGTAGAATTCGCTGGCTAGAGCATGTGTTGCGTATGCCCAGCTGTCGTCTGTCGCACCGCGCTTTATTCTCTGTAGCTAATCCGGGCTGGAGGAAACCGCGTGGAGGTCAACGGATGACGTGGAGATTAGACATGAAGAAATGCACAGAGCCATAGGTAGAGTAGGTGTCTGATGCCTTGCAGGTTGAGGTCCTTTAACTGGTTGGTTGGAGACATTGAAGGATATGGCAGTGAGTCGACAGCAATGGCGTTCTTGCTATCATTTCTTATCAGACCAGAACGCTCGAAACTGTATGTATACAGAGTTCAATTGTGTAATCTGTGTGTTGACCATAGCGGTTCACCCCCATCATCATCATCATCGTCGTACAGTGAAAAACAGTAAGGCGAACTTCACCGATCGCTGCCGAACTCGCAATGCATACAAGGTTAGTGGTACAATTTAAGGTGGTCTGGGATTGAACCCCATCGGGCCGGTGACCATAGCCACAACCAGGAAGATGTGGATGTGTGTGGTTTGTACGCCTCTTCTTGGTTGGTTTGGAATCACGGGCTTTAGCCAATTCCCCTAGATGAACTGCCGGTGGTTCATCCACTCGGATGTTGGCTTTTCGCCCTCACTTTGATGGGGAAACACCATGGAAAGGCAGCAAGTAGAACTCTCCAGAAGAGGCTATTTGGGACGGCTGGTTTTATTCGAGCATTCCTCAAGGTGCAAGGGGGAAGGTGACCAGCTGCAACCCAAGATACCCACTACCAACCATAATGAGCCTTCCGGATGCGGATTTTGATCACCAGTGAATTTGTTCTATATTTAATAACAATAGTGAGTCTCCATGCATCTGGTGACACTTGGATTATTATGTTGTCACATGCAATTAATTTTTATTGGCACAGATTGCAAGGCTAAGCACATTTTTCGTGAATATCAGTTGATTGGTTTTGCTTGCGGTATTTAGCAGAGCTGAGTGCTACCAGGCTCGTCTCCGGGTTTTGGAAACGGGGTAACCTTCACCGAAGTTGTAGCATGCCGTAATCAACAAGCAGTCGCGAACAAACAGCGGCGGCACTACCAGGGTGTGCTGGGTTTCAGGCTGGTCACCTGGCTCCTGTTTAAAAGCCGCATAATCCCAATGACGGTATCGTGACTAAGGTCGATGTGACTGACTTCTTAAAGCTAAAGTCATTGATCCCGTCACTTCCCAGGCGAGGGATTACTTCCGGCATCCTTGTAGTACGCACTTGGCTGTGCAAAGGTTAGAGGTGCACCCTCAAAAAGTAATGGAGGGTAATGCCATCGGCAAACGAATCGATCGGGTTGGCAGTTTTGGAAAGGAGATCATTAATAGATAGAAGAAAGAGGGTGGGTGCAATTACTGAACCTCGGGGAACACCGGCAATCACAGGGTACGGCTAAGATAAAACCCCTTCAACCCGGACGGAGATGGTTCGCATACTAAGTAAGCCTGATATCCACGCTCCGAAGGGAACCCGACGTGGGTAGTTTCGCCAGTCAACCTTCGTGCCAAACTCATTCAAAGGTGTCAAGCCAGACCAAGTGTGTTTCTCCGTGGTTATCGAGTGCAGTTGACCAGGATTGTGAGACAATAGCCAGCAGCGACGTTCTCGGAAGCCATACCGACGATCCTTCGCATTCGAGGAACGTGCGTAGTTGGTCAGAGAGGATGCTTTCAAAAGGATAGATGTGGGGCAAATCGATCGGTAATTGTTGGAGTCAGAAAGGTTGCCGCGTTTTGGAATTGGAAAAATCATAGCGTGTTTCCAAGCGGTTTGCCTAAGCAAGTGAAAGGCTGATAAACGACGTAAAATAGGAGCTAGCTCGGGAGCACAAATTCTGAGGACGATGGGTGGAATACCGTCAGGACTGGGTGGTTTGGTTGTCTTTAGAGAACGCAATGTTTGACGGATTTTCCTAGTGCTAACATGAGGTAGAAAAGGGTTTTCAGTGAAGAAGGAAGCAGCTGGAGGTGTAGAATAATTTGGTAAGATGGAGTTGGCAGAAAACTGGGGAGCGAAAACCTCAGCTTTCTCTTGTGGTTGACATACAAGATCATCGGGGGAATTGCAGATAGTTGTGAATTTGGAAGGGCAGAAATAACGGGAAATTGCTTTGACAAGTGACCAAAATATTCGGCTACCGGTGGAGGATGACACCAAGTTTTTGGCTTTACAGAGAACGAAGCCTTCTTTGGTTCTCTGAATGGTTGTCGATCACTTCTTCCTAGCTTGCACGAAGCGATGGTGGGAGTCGGAAGTGGGCGAGCGGCGGGAGGCCGAGCGTTTTAGGCGTACACCACGGTCACATACATGGTTAAATCATTGGGGGGATTTGGGTTTTGCGGGTTAAGAAAAGTGTAGAATAAAAAGATGCATACTTTGAAGAACAATGTCGGTGAAATTGGGAACATATTTGAAAACATCCGAAGAGAAACAACAATCAGTAAAGGGATAAGAAGCTAGGGAATCACAGAAACCGTCCCAGTTGGCTGATTTGTAGCACCAGGATGTGTTTTAAGGTGGGTGGCGGATCAGGTCAAGAAACAATACAGTGATTCGATGAGCCAAACGGACGGAGGGTACCACTAACTAAGAAGGAAGGAACCAAAGTGAGAATTAGATCGAAGGTGTGGGCACGATTGCCTGCTCGATCAGGGGCACGTGTGGGGAGGTCCAATAGTTGGCTCAGGTTATTGACCAAAGCGAAATGTTCGGCTTCGCGCCCCAAAGAAGAAGTAGCAGATGAGTGTGCCAACCAATCCTGACTATGAAAGTTAAAATCTCCCAAGATGGTAACATGGCAGTTGGGGTCGGTTGCAAACAAGTGTTCAGTATTCCATGATAAAAAAATCAAACACGGAGTTGCCACGATATAAAACAAAAGTAATGGATGTAGGAACGAAGTGGGAGTTTCAGACACATCAGCTGAAATTCACGATTGGAAAAGTCAAGAATTGAGACCTTGGAGGTGGTGCATGATTGTTGAATAAAGGTGCAGATACCAGCTTTGGATAGAAAGGAGGAATGGAAAGCGTACTTGGCTCCTTGATGGTGAGTGATGTCTGAGGGGTAGATTTGTGTAACAGTCACAAAAGGACGAGAAGAAAAGAATAGAGAAATTAGTGTACCGAGTCAATATTACGGTTCAGTCCGCGAATGTTAGTGAGAATGATGAGTGCATGTTTCCATTGCAGTGCGTAGAGCAAGCGAAAGAATGTGAGCGTTTGTGATTTCGTACTGCCATATAGGCAACTTTCCTGTCGTCCGGTTCAGTACCACGCCTAACGTGGCGGGGCCTTATGTGATTCGCTACTTCAAGTCTCGGGACTTGAGTTGCCGGCTTTCATCACTGAACAGCACGTCCTCGTAACTAAGGGACCTCCTTCGTCTGTAATGTAATAAAAACATTTTGCAAGAAGGAAACCGGCAACCATGATCCTGAAACTTGGAGTGGTGGACCGCATAGGCGTTCAACAGATCAGGCTTGGTGTTGAGCCGGTCGGACGGCAGAGCAGCCTACCACCTGTGATGTTTCTACACTTGGCCATTCTTTCCATATACCTGTATCTTTCATGTTATTTTTTCATACCTTGCTTAATCGGTTATTTTGTCCCACGGATTTAATCTCGTGCAACAGATGCTGCCGAAAAGAAGAAACTTGCTTTGGATGCTATGTACCATTTGGAGCACGATGAAAAAGACAAAACAAAAGCAAGCAGTGTTGCCCCAGCCATCCATCAATTGGAGGTCGATCGTCAAACCCTAAAAGACGATTTCCTGCTTAACCAGTTAGCTCGAAAACGTTTCAGGGTAAGTCAGTTTCGCCCACCTTTGTTCCTCACGGTTGTGGTTTGATCATGGAGTGGTTGACGTTTAGTTTCACTTTATGCAACTCGCAACCATGGGCCTTCTTTTGCTGTTCTTCTTTATCGTCTTTCAGTAACGGTTTGGTCATTTTGCGAAGCAGTTAAAGCTGAAGCTAATACCGAGATAGATATACTGGATTCAAGTAAATTAGATGTACACACAAAGTAAATAGATATTTTACTACACATTAGTGGGATTAGCAACAGAGAAGCGAATCTGTATTCATGGGGACCTATCCTTGCGGACTGGAAACACANGAAACACAAGTTCCGAGATTTAGTGGTAAACCACATGCAGCTTCACTGTCATAGGCATGTTCTCAAGTCAAACAGAAGCGAAGCCGCTCACCATCAAATTCGATGTAAGATCCCGACCCCTTACTGCACAACTACATCTTTCGGCGACTAACCGTTGATCAAGCTGTATACGAGGTCTCTATTCAGAAGGCCTAGGTCGACCTTTTATTGTATACATTTTTGTGTGATAAACAGTAGACAGGGTGAACCCCATAGTTGCAAAGGCCTGCCGTTCTGTGATGGAAACCGGCAACATNTGACCCCACTAGGATAGGCGTAGTATTGAACCGAATGACAACAAAGCTGTCCACCACCAAATCGGGTGGCGTTGGAGGGATTCGAGCATCGGATCATAGGACCCAAGGTACGCCGGTAACAGCGATTTAACCACAGGCTCACCCCCACCTGATAAATTCCTCTTATTAAGTTTCCATACCTTCCCACCTAGTTGTAATGTGATCATCCTTCTCTTTGTTCCAATTACTGTTTGACTTGGCAAATTTCGCACGTGGAAAAGGCATATCCCCTGATTTGCGCAGCGCGCTCCGCTTATACCGCCATCTATAAGGCTCAAACACTTATTGGTGTGCAACGTTGACATCGAAATTGCTTATCCGTTTATCCCATTAAGTTGGTGCAGTGTGGTTTAGGTCATCGTGTCGGAACCCCAATGATCCGTTTGTCTTTCACTTCCAATGGCCGTATCTCTGTACTGCGCAACAGCACCAACCTACTAGTTCCCAAGCTGTGTACATCGCTGCCACCAGTCTGCTCCGGACTTTTGATCTATTATTCAAACCGCACACGAAGCACCCATCTTCGGTGATCCGCAGCTTCGCTTTCATCCCCTCCGACGTCACATTTCCTATAGAGGTCTTCTCTATTCGTCTAGCCNTATCTTTAATCATCATCATCACTGTCTTACAGCAAAATAGTACAGTGATATCTCGCGACTGACTTGCGACGGTCAGTGGCCAGATCGGGACAGGTGGTCATTGCGATGAGACTGCATCTCGAGGTGGTGTGATAGCTTATGCAGCTCTGCAACCCAACGAGTTACACAGGATGGTTTTTATTGAACTGGATATCTAAACATACTTGGAAGGTCAAAGGGTAGAGGTCAGACGAAGTCCAGTCTCTTGGTTTTCCATGTTGTCGATTCGACTAGAGTTGGCGGCTCAGTCGACAAAAAATGCTGGTGAAGTAATTGATCCAAGTAATCGGGCCTCCACTCCGCTTCATCCGCTGCCTTGCGGTTGGTTTCTTGTCCGATAGTGGATATCTTGGGTTGCGGTTGGTCACCTTACACCTCGCGGAACACTATACCATCAAGCGTCTCAAATAGCCTTTGCTGAGGTGTAGCCCTACTTCATGCCTTCCCGTGGTTGTGTTTCCCTATCAAAGTGGGGACGAAAAGCCATAGTCCATGTCGGAAACGAAGTTCAAAGAAATGTACAGAGCGAGTGAGTAGAGTAGGTGTCCTACGTTCCAGGTTTTGGCCCGAAAGATTAACTGGTTGGCTGAAGACTGAACAACATGGCAACTAATCAACAGCAGTGGCGTTCTTGTTGTCAATTCTGATTAGGCTAGAATGCTTGTGAGCTTATTTTGTGCTTTCTGTGTTGGCCACAGAGGTTCTTTTTCTTTGTTTCTCTCCATTTAAGCCTAATACCTGTCTAGCTTGCACTTTATCACTTACTTTCTGTGCATTATGAGCTTGACAGCGATCAGCGAAGTCCACTTTACTTGATCTCGCTGAACAGTAATATGTTGATACAGTGAAGCAAATTTCACTGATGGCTGCTAAACTCATAATGCATACAAGGTAAGTGAGCGTGTGTATGGATGATTGAAATTGGGATACAGTAACACAAAATATCGGAAAGTTCATCGTGAAATGGAAAACTGCTTTTCTTGTTCTCTTAATCCGCTGTTATTCTTTCTTTTACATCTTATATTCTGTACTTCAACTCCCGTCTTCTTTTACTCTGTCACCATGTTTTGCTAACCGACATATAAATACACTAGTTATCGTCAAATATTCTGTAAATTCACTTGAATCACTTATGTTGCAGTTAGTAGCATCTAACCCATCCACAGGACATAGCAATGATTCATAAACGAACTGGCTCCGGAAGGCCCAACGAAACACTTTTGACCAGCAAATGAGATATTTGTGTCGAAACGATATATGCTTGTGTTGCACTTACCATACCACATTCGTTGCTTTACAGGAAGCAAAACGTATTGCTCTGGAACAAGCAGCGCAAGATCGAAAGCTCATGGGCCGATTGTCCTTGTCTGGTTCCGGTGTCGAGCTCCTCCCGGAACTTGATTCAGATGCCACCACGGCTAA